TTTATAAGGTACCTTAATAAATCAAGACACCAGTTGAACTAAGTTTCGTTCGTGAAATTAGGTAGACGTTAATGTTCTAACATTTTTCCTAGTGATCACACCACGTGGTCTCTCTCTCTCTCTCTCTCTCTCTCTCTCCAAGTAAATATAACTAAAGTGGACTTAGCTGTTGTAATATAAACAGGGGGCGGCACTGTGTTTAAAAAAACCCCCAAAAACCCAGAAAGATGCCTAAGAGCATGTCTGTTATACGGAGGGGGGGGGGAATCCTTTCTTTTACAATGAGGTTCTCCCTGTAGAAGGACAGAGAGCCACTCGAAGTAGAGGATTACAAAGTAAGAGACACGGATATGTGAATAAGATAACGGTTAAATCTGGATTTTAAAAAAGTTTAAGATTGTAGCGATTAGGAAAATATCCACTTGGAAGTCGAGTGCACAGAGCAATGGTTCACAGGAGCAAACTGCTCTAACAGAATTTACTTCTCACGAATAGAATAAAGACGGAATGAGGGTGGTCATCTAAAATGGGCGTGGCATGGCGCGTCTTAGCCGTGTAAGTTACAAATGGCGGAACATAAGAGTGTATCTCATCGGAACAATCAACATGGAAATAGCGATAAAACAGTGAGAGGTTTACGACGTTTTGTCTGCAAGAAAAAGTTAGTCGGGTGGAAAATAATTTGTCACCCATAGGGACGCGGGCACACCCTTGGAAACTAGAAAGTGCTGATTGTAGACCTTAGTACCATCAGCGGATTATTTTTGTTTATTTCCTTACTAAATTGATAACCTTAGGAGTTTCATTGAAAAGAAACCCGTTAAGGTTTATCTGATTTGAAATGATCGCTAATCGATCGCTTAGAGACGATTATTAAATAGATATTATCAATTGTTTATTGCTGGGGTTTAACTTGAAAAACTGAAACTGCGAACAAGGCTGGTCTACATTATCATGTAACACCCCTCCTCCCCAATAGGATTTGATGGGTTCGCCTATCGTCCGGTTCATACTCCTCCGCAGTTTTCTGAACAGGAATAGAAGTTTATCTCTTATTCCCTGTTTAGGATTGGGTTTCCAGTTCCTTCTAAAGTCTACTTCAGTTCGATTTTTAAACGTAACTTAGTTTAAAAATTGCATAGAAGTATAAACAATTATAAAAAAAAAATACAAGACTTTATACGTCTATCGTCCAGTTCACACTTCTCTCGGTATTTTGAAAAGGGGTAGAGTTTAATCCCTTGCTTCTTGTTTAGGATTAGATTTCCAGTTGCATCTAACGTCTATTTCAACTTTATCTTCTTCTAATATCGCTGGCTGTACTCTGAAATTTTAATCACTAATTATATCTTGACTTCATCAAGTCTAGAGTTTGCTGTTGTCTTTCCTGCATAGCCCTCAAGACTTTCATTTTCTGCGCTGTCTTATGCTAATACAACTCCACACAGTAACGCTCTATCTTGAGTGGCTCTTGGGCGTTGTATTGCATGAACATTTTAGTAAAAATAAAGAGAGAGATACAAATTTATCAAATTTTTTTTTGTCTTTATTTTACGAGATTATTCCATTTTTTTCTCTCTTTTCCTCTCAGATTCTCATTTCTCATGCCTTTTTAGTGTGGCCTTTCCCAGCCGGCCTGCTCTGTCGACACTTCTCTATCTAATTCTTAATTATCCTCAACTCCCCCGCACAACAGCCGACATGATTTTACCTCTCCTTCCTGCTTCTCACAAAAAAAAAAAAAAAAAAATTCTCGGTGCCAGATAAATAGACAATAAGATACAAAGTGAATTTAGTTAACTAGAATTCGTTTAAATTTTTCTTAAATTCAACTGGCAATATCTGATTAATTTTGATCCTATTTTTCCAATATCGTTTGAAATTAATAAAACATGGATTGCATCACAAAAACTTGCACCCACAAAAATGAGTCCATATTTTAATATATATATATATATATATATATATATATATGAAGAAATATAGTCTTAAGATATGCTATATTTATGGGATAAAATGCTCAATATCAGAGATAGAGCGTGTGTAAATATTATGGCCTGACGATTGCATCTAGCATGAAACAGACTGCAGCCTCTAAGTGTTGACTTCTATGTTCACTTATATATATATATATATATATATATATATATATATATATATATATATATATATATATTAATGCATGTTTCATTAAATAATATAGACAAGTTTTGTCTATTTATTTTAAGTAAGTTCCTTTCATATTTTCTGATAAGCTTAATAACATTATCATTGAAAGACGAAAGGAAATCACCATATTGATACATGTTTAAATCCAATCTAAGCTTTCGGCTTACATAAGCCATTATCAAAGATGACAATTACTTTTCAATATATCAACAAATACACGGACGAAACAATAATGATAGTCTGTTTTTGTTGCATGAAAAATTTCAAAGCAACGACTAACTCGTCACACACGACCACGCGAGAGTGAAAGAAGAAGTATTAAGTATGGGAAGTCGTTAGTATCAGACAATATGAAAGGAACTTACTTATAATAAATAGACAAAACTTGTCTATATTATTTAATGAAACATACATTAATGAAAAATTCCTGCCTAAATATACATATATATATATATATATATATATATATATATATATATATATATATATATATATATATATATATATATATATAATCAATCGATTCTCCCGTCGGGTTCGACGTATGGGGTCAAGCAGATCAGTTTCCAGGAAACTGACAGCCCGACACCGGCACATGAGATTCGATTATAGTGGTGAAGGTTTCGTGCAGGACCATCCACACTTTTTGAAGGGCCGAATAGAGAGACCTGGTGCACTGCGTACCACAAGGTTCCCAAACGACCCCCACCTCAGGTTTTTGCACTGTGGGGTAATGGATATCGGCTTGGATTGAGGAAACGCAGAGCCGACCTCGAATCCAGGTTGAATCCATTACATTCACTTACGTGCTAATGCTCTTGGGAAAGGTGTGGATCCTCTTCTTCCCCCTCCAGCTATGAGTAAAATAGCAGGACAGACTGGGTTCTATGACCTTGGATGGCAACTGGTCTAGGAGAAGGACAACTCTGAATATATATATATATATATATATATATATATATATATACAGTGAAACACTCAAACAAAAAGTAAATAGTAATGTTCATGATATAAAGTGGCGAATTCACTTCGATAACTAAATTAAAAAAGAATATTAGCCTACTAACCACTCGATGAATGTTACGATTCATGTTTTGAAAATTATAAGCTGTATTAGGCCTTCTTTAAATATGCAAGTATTTCGACGGCTTCTCCCGTCATCATCAGACATGAAAATTATTTTCTCTTTGGTAAAATTAAGACGAAAAAATATGAAATCTTCTAGTTGCATGCATTTTGTTTGGTGTTTATAGATATATTTATTGTTTCAATAAATTCATTCAGTTTTTTGGACGAAGTGCGTAGACTAAAACTACAGTTTTTCTATGGTCTTTCTCAATAATATACATACACACACAAATATATAAATACATACATATATATATATATATATATAATAAAATAACGTTCATAATTATATGATATAATATATAAAAAATATCATTTATAATATACATACATATATATATATATATATATATATATATATATATATATATATATATATGTGTGTGTGTGTGTGTGTGTGTGTGTGTGTGCGTGTAAAATAAACTAATGTTGATAATAATAAATATTTTTTATAATTTTCAATCTTTTTCATACAATATTATTAACGATCTATTTTAAAATTTTTTAACATTGGCCCTACATATATCTATTATTAATTCAATATATATATATATATATATATATATATATATATATATATATATATATATATATTATCCTTTGTTATATAGATAATGCCGAGAAGTTCCTAAGAAATGAATATCCAGGTAAAACTAGTAGAGAATTTATGAGAATAATAACAAATCATATAATATATATATATATATATATATATATATATATATATATATATAAAGTATATATATATATATATATATGTATATATAAAAGTATATATATATATATATATATATATATATGTATATATATATATAATATATATATATAAAAGTATATATATAATATATATATATATAAAAGTATTTATATATTCTATATATATATATAAATGTATATATATATAATATATATATATAAAAGTTTATATGTATATATATACTATATATATATATATAAAAGTATATATATATATATAAAAATATATATATATATATATATAAAAGTATATATATATATATATATATATATATATATATAGTAATATAATTAATTAACAAAAACTTGAAAAAAAAAAAAATTGAAATCTTCAGGTACAAGTTTAATTTTTTGTTTGAAGTTGGTTTACACGACACCTTAAAACTGGTTTAATTGCAGCAGACACAGGAATAAATTGATTAAAAAACATGGAGAGACAGAAAAGAAAGTTCCTGTCATTTCCCGCTACTTTCATTGCTATCTTTCTATTATCTGTCTTTCTTTAAATTAATTTATATTTTGTGTTTGGTTCATTTAAATCACGGTGAAGGTGCAGGAAACCAACTGCACATATAAATTTAATTTATAGCTGAAAAATTCAAATTAATTTATATTTTTTTTTAAATTTTTTTTAATCATATATATATATATATATATATATATATATATATATATATATATATATGATTAAGAAAAATTTAAAAGAAAATATATATATTTTATGAAGAATATATATATATTATGAAGGTTATATATTTCCTTCTAAAGGAAAAAAATGGATCGTCTCACAGGAAATGAACCTCTATCGTATTCCCATCTGCGAACTACATCTTCTATAGCTGAAACATGTAGTTATTAATTGGACCACTAGAGAGGATATTGATTATAACTAATTTGAAAATGTAGGTTGTTGCAAATAATTTTTAATACTTAAAAGCTAGATATAGTCAATAAACTAAGATAGATATATAGATAGATAGATAGATATGAACAGACTGAGATAGATAGGTAGATAGATAGATATATGAACAGAATGAGATAGATAGATAGATAGATAGATAGATAGATAGATAGATATGAACAGACTGAGATAGATAGATATAAACAGACAGAAAAGATAGATAGATAGATAGATAGATAGATAGATAGATAGATAGATAGATATGAAAAAAGTGATGTAGATAGATTGATAGATAGATAGATAGATAGATAGATAGATATAAACTGATGTGGATAGATAGATAGATAGATAGATAGATAGATAGATAGATAGATAGATATGAAAAAGTGATGTAGATAGATAGATAGGAACACATTAAGATAGATAGATAGATAGATAGATAGATAGATATGAACAGAATGAGATAGATAGATATAAACAGACTGAAATGATAGATTGATAGATATAAATAAACTGATATAGATAGATAGATAGATAGATAGATAGATAGATAGATAGATAGATAAAAACAGACTGCGACAGATCTTCACGTTTTCCTACACGCACATTCCTACAAATAATTTAATGCCTATACAAATGTAATATTTGCTTTTATGTTCCTAGCCTTACGATCTGTCGGCACTTATGTCCTTCCTGCTTCAATTCTTGTCACCTTGGAGATACACAAACGATGAGATTCTCGCCTTTCAATCTCGTTTCTGATCGCCAATTGCAAGTTCTCGCGAGGAAAAGCAATTTTCATTGTTTCCGCCATAGATGAAGGACCGTTTGCCTTTACGGCCATCTTTGCGCTATTCCAGCTTATTTCCCCGACGATAAGCCCGGCCTTATCAATTGTTTTAAGCGAACAATACTTGCATATATGACCAGACTCGATGGACAGTCGAGTGGGAAACGGATTAATTAACTCTATCTTTGGCAGACATTTTGTCACGGATCTGTGCCAGTTTTGTTTAGCGGCATTGGAGGTATACTTGCATTATTTACATTATTCGGACTGTCATCCTCATAGCCATATTCACAACGTTTCGACTATTGCACACTCCGGCCTTCTTCAGCTAATTGAAATTTTGAACCGAACCTTTTTATCTCGTCCACCGGAAATAGATTGTTCTAGTTCCATGTGCCATGTCTCAATTACTCAACTCTATAAGTTTTGGTATTGAACTCACAACTCTTTGGGTCTAGTAACTGGATCAATTACTTTATCCACTCGGCCATGTGTCTCTGTATGAATTTTTGGGACTTATAAACCTTATGTTTCAGTTTCATGTTTTACAAGTGCTCATATTGCAATTTTTATTAATATTAACCATTTTTTTCATCAGAGCTCATATTGCAATTTTTGTTGTTATTAATTGATTTTCTCTAGTAGTGGTTATTACTGATTTCCGTATTGTATTCATTTCTATGCTTGGTCGGCTCAAGAGAGTTTTGTGCCTTAGCATATGCGCTGATTCCTTAAGCTTTCGTATTTTCCAGTGATGATCTCTGTCTATTATTTCAACCTAATCCCATACGGAGCAATTAATCATAAAACCTCATCTCCGAAATATTGACAGTATCCTTTTACTATTAATGTGAGATAATTAAAACAATAACGATTACATTGAAATAAAAAATAAAAGCGATGAACAGCTGAAAGATAGCATTTTTTTATTATTTCGATCGAACGTCAAAATTTATATTTAAATGCCGTCCTGGGTATGACAATATACTACATCCGGCAGGAAGTATTCTGATTGGGAGGTTTCGATGAACCTGAGCCGCTTGGGAGCGATACGAACTGTTAACTCGCCGACATAGTCCCAGAAAGGTGCACCTGAGGACAATGGTAGAACGCGTGCGATGACGTTTTTTTTCTAATTCAAGGTCACACTGGTGACAGTGTGGCAAATCCGACCCGCTCCATCTGAAGGCCATGTCATTAATATATAACACGTTACGTGTCAAGGTAAGCGAAAACTCAGGGTTACTGAGGTAATTCACCGCTGGCGCCCAAAACTAGAAAGATCGCAACTCGGTCAGCGACAACTCGAACCGTCAACACAGAGGATCCTTCGCGACCCTCTCCACAAATTCACGATACAAGACCTTTCGATGCCGTCAATGGTCACTGAACCGAGGAAAGATCTTCAAGGCCGCTCGACACTAGTTGAAGAAGGTCGACAGTTTCCCGGCCCACGACGGCCCTAAGCCAAGGAAACGGGAGGGATGATATTAAGGCTAACACTCAACAACAAAACCCGGAATGACTCACCAAATGTAGCAATTCTAACTCCCCATGACACGGACGTTGGACACAGGTTTCTTTAAGGACCTCCTGCTTATGCCCACCGTATAAGAATATTGACAACAAGTGTTCGATCGCCTTCCTACGGCCCTTGCAAAGAGGAAGGAGAGCCAAGCGGTAAAGGATGAGGAAAGACGTAAGTGGTACACACCTCAGCCGTACCGTTCAAGGGCCACCTCATTCGGAGCCAAGTCCGTGCCGACACTCCGATCTTTGCCTGTACTTCTAACCAATTTTCCTCCAGCTAGAGGTCGGCTCCAAACCACACTCCAAGAATGCGGACAAGACCGTCCGTCCAACGAAAGGGCCGCGGAAGATCGATCCCTTTCAGGTACCTAACTGCAAATCGGAAGACTTGTTACGATTAAATCTTGGTCCCCGTGACATTTTCCTACCTTTCAAGCATCTTCTGTACCACCTCATATATATATATATATATATATATATATATATATATATATATATATATATATATATTTAAATAAGTTTTTCCTGGTACAGAATTTAATAATAGATAGGAAAAGACAATATTTATAAGGCATTTTTAAAAGCAAAAGCTAAAATAAAAACAACCGGTTTCGTCCCAGGACTTATCAAGTTTATTTATTCTGGGATTTTTTTTAATTAACGAATGGGGGAAAAAGAAAATTTAAAAAAAAATTATAATAATAATATAATATAATAATTATCATAATTATCATATTTTTTCCCCCATTCGATTACATTCGTTAATTAAAAATTAATTTACACGCTTTTTAAATTTCCAGAATAAATAAACTTGATAAGTCCTGGGACGAAACCGGTTGTTTTTATTTTAGCTTTTGCTTTTAAAAATGCCTTATAAATATTGTCTTTTCCTATATATATATATATATATATATATATATATATATATATATATATATATATATATATATATATATATTATATATTTATATTTAGGCAGCAATCTATCATTTATGCATGTTTCATTAAAACTGCAGACAAAGTACTACGATAAAGCTTTTTATTCAATTTTTCTTGTGTTCGAAAAAGTATTTTCTTTTTTGGACTCAGAGTGTGTTCAGAACTGTTCAAACTGACTGCGCGACCCTTCCTCATCCCTCGAAAGAGAAGCTCCAACGCTAAAGTAGGGATGACAGTGGGCAACGCTGACGAACCGACCGAGACAGCGCAAAAGCCTTCCGTTCACCTGTACCACACCACACAGGGAGCGAGACAGGAGACTAATCCACTTGCAGAAGTCGGGTTGGAATCCGGCGGTCTGCAGAACAGCAGCCGGGTACCGACGGTCGAATCTATCTAATCCAAATTGATCAGCGAGGCTTGCTTGTCGTCTTTTATACCCTCTAGGATCATGCAGATGAGATTGATCTGAATTGTCCTTCCCTTCACAGCTCAAGTCTGCTCAGGTCCCATCAGAATCTCGGTAACTTGATCTATTTAATTCTATGTTTAGCAGAGATATGGACCGGTAACCATTTAATTCTAACCCACTATCATTGCCCTTTTTGAATAGCGTGATCACACCGCTGGTGATCCGACTGTGGATGCCCCCCCCCGACACCAACGGAACCAATCTTTGGACTCGACAGTTAAAATTGGCACAAAGATGTGTGACAGCCTCAAGTAGGGTAAACCATCAAGTCCCAGAGACTTGCCACTGTCGAGTCTTTTCAATGCCGAGTAGACTTCACCCTTTGTGATCTCACCGTCTCAGCTAACCGCTTCAGTCGAAATCCAAGGAAACTCAGCCAAATAGCTGCGAAACTCTTCATCACAGAGACCAGGCTCTTTGGTAAACCGTTCCTCGAAGTGCCACCGGAACGTCTCGCACTTATCATCACTAAACCTCAGAATACGCCTCTCCGGGGCTTTGACCAACTGTTTCTTTTCTCACACTTCCTGCCTGGAGAATTACCTTTTGTTTAGTTGCTTCCCTGATAGATACAAACTTCAAAATTTAAATGCAATGTCAGTCGCCATCTTCTGTCTTCTTGAATTCCTTTCATCGTTTCATCTTTCCTCAACCTTCCCTATTCTCAGTCTTTACTTTCACTTTCACTCCCTGCGTAGTAGTTGCATACCCACCTTGCTTGGGGTGAAATGATTAACAAAATATATATGTATAAGAGGGCTCAAGTTTAACATCATTGCATCATCTCTGGGACAATAGGACATTCGTTTGAGCTTTTACCTCTGGCTCCCCGACAGCATGAATTTAAGCGTGTTACTAGATTGGCATACTGGTGACACCCATTTACTGTTGAAATAGCTAAATGCAAGCGCCAATTCAGCTCCAACAGTTTGTTTTCTCTCATTACCCGCCTACGGAAGTCACTTCCGTTTACTTGCTTCCCTGATAATTACAATCTTCAAAAATTTAAATACAACGTTAATCGCCATCTTCTGTCTTCTTGAAGCGCGTTCATCTATTGTCCTTTCTTCAATCCTCCCTATTTGCAGGTTTTTTCATTTTCATTCCGAATAAACCCCTGCGTACTAGTGGAATTTCCGCCTTGCTTGAGGGGGAAATGTTTTTTTTTTTAAGTCTTTCTTTTTCAGTTTCAGGAAGGTATCTTTATATTTGTAAATTTACTGCGAATAATATTTTTAAAGAACGTAGAGCGAAGCAGCGATAAAAACAAATCGGGACATTTACTTCCCTGATCCCTATTGTACTGTAAGAATGAATAAAGTCAAGTACGAAATGTAGATTAGCACGCAGCGACAGGCGCTGCAGCTAAGGTAGATGCAACCTGACTGTGAATTGTTCCACTGGACTAAATAGTCGTGTTACTCAGTCAATGCATAATAATTCCCAATGTATATGCAGTGTGTTATGCTCACAAATCTCCCAAGACAGACAAGAACGAGAAATCTAACGTCTTTATTTTTATACGTGCCATGTTCTTTCAGTTTAGGGACGATGATAGCTTCTCACATTTTGTTTTTGTTGCTCTAAGCTTTCTCTTTCTACTCCAACAATTTCTTTTCTCGCACTTCCTGCCTGTGGAACTTCACTTCCGTTTCCTTACTTCCCTGATAACTACAATCTTCAAAAATGTAAATGTAACGTTAATCGCCATCTTCTGTCTTCTTGAATCCCGTTCATCTATTGTCCTTCCCTCAATCCTCCCTATTTGCAGGTAGCTTTATATTTGTAAATTTATTGCGAATAATATTTTTAAAGAACGTAGAGCGAAGCAGCGATAAAAAAAAGTCGTGCCATTTAGTTCCATGATTTGTATTGTACTGTAGATGTGAAATGTATACTGGAGATTAGCACGCATCAACAGGCGCTTCAGCTAAGGTAGATGCAATCGGACTATGAATGGTTCGACTGGACTCAATAGTCGTGTTACTCAGTCGATGCATAATAATTCCCAATGCAATAAAGAACTGAAGTACTCCATCTGGATGCAGTGTCTCACGTTCACAAATCTCACGAGATACAGACAAGGACGATAACTCTAAAGTCTTTATTTTTA